TTGGGCACTGCCCACTGCTGCTTTCTTGCCCAGCTAGCAAGCATACCACCCTCCTCCCATATCTGGTGCCCACCCCAATCCAGCTCCCTGCTTCTGCTGCTGTCACTCCGAGAAACAGTTCCAGGACACCTTCGCAGAGACACAGGGAAGGCAGAGGGGGAAGGCCACGAGATCCGGCCAGATGGTTTAGAAATTCTTGAGGAACTCCTCAGCCACGATGCGCGCCCTGGCATTGACCGACAGCTTCATCTCAATGATCTCCTTGTCAATCTCCTCCATGAAGTGGATCACAAAATCCACCAACTTGTGTTTGTACATCTGCTCTGTGTGGAAGTTGGTGATCAGAAAACTGATATCATACCCCTCCACTTGTTTCCTTCGAAGGATAAAGAAGTTCTCTGTTCTCATCATCATGAAACGCATGAATTTGTGGCATAAAATCTTCTCAGTCTCATCAGCCTGTTTCACAGTGATGCTGACCCGGACAGAGTTGATGGATCCCTCAATCAGAACCTTGTCCTTCTCATTCCTGCCAATGGTCACGGGTTGCAACAGGAGCTCTTTGCTACTCCATCGCAGGCGCTGGCTGGGCCGGCAGTTAGTATGTTTTCTTTTTGCCCTGTTGGAAAAAGTTTTTGATGAGCACAGAGATTTTTTTTAGTAGTTATTTTGTAAATTTTATTAATTTTAAAGAACATTTACAGAAATTTTGGATTTCCATTCATTCATTGTTGCATTTTTCTCCCTGTCCACTCATTCCCCCCACCCAGTTCTCTCTTCTCTTTGAAAAATAAAAGAAAAATTCTTTCATTGGCACACAGTCCTCACCCCCCAACTCACTCCACTATGCAACCTTCATTCTGGACTTTTGTCATAACCATAGTACCCAATCATATATCACTTTTAAACTGTTCTCTCCCTCATCTATTTCAATGAAGTATATATAATTTATTCAGTTTTTCTTAGTCACACCATCCCTGATGTCAGTCCTGTTCTACAACAGTGGCATTATGCAGTATTTGTCCTTTTGTGACTGAGATATTTCACTCAGCATAATGTCCTCCAGAGTCACCCATTTTAAATACTATTGCATGAGTTCCTTGTTTTTCAATGCAGCATAGTATTCCATTGTGTGAATATACCAGAGCTTCTCTTTCCATTGTTTGTTGATGGGCACTTAGGTTGTTTCCAACTCTTTGCTATTGTGAACAAAACCACAATAAACATGGGTGGAGCACACAGATTTAATCTTTAGATCGTCCCATTCATCAATTTTATCCTTTCTAGATTGTGTATTTCTGCCTGTATTTGGCAGTTCCATTATACTGTAGACTAGGCCTTCTAAGCTTGAACCCAGTTTATCTCTTATGAATGGTTTGGGGCTTTACTCCCAGATCTCTGATCCACCTTGAGTTGATTTTTGTGTATGGTGTGAGATGTGGATCTTGTTTCAGCTATCTGCAATTAGCAGTCCAATTTTGCAGCATGATTTGTTGAAAAGGTTGTCATTTCACCATTTGATAGGTTTTATTTCCTTGTTGAATATCAGATAGATAGGATGACTCAATATTGTGAAAATGACAACTTTACCAAATGCAATCTACATGTTCAATGCCATCCCAATACAGATACCAAGTTCATTTTTCCAAGGAGATCAAGAGGGAAGTTTTTAAGTGTATTTGGAGAGGAAATACACTCCAAATAAGCAAAGCACTTCTGAAAACCAAAAATAAAGTGGGAAGCTTAGCATTCCCTTAACTCAAAACCTACTATCAGCTTTGTTTTTTAACTCACAGAGTTGGCTTGAATTGTGCTGTGGTTTACAGAGTCTCTTAATGGGCTCAATTGGGTCAATCATTGGCTCTTGCTGCTTTTTTTCCCCCTTGTCTCTCCTGGGTTATTCTTCTTTGCTATTGTTTTGTGTTTTTAAAAGTGTTGTTTCATATTTTGCCAGGGTTTTGTCTTTTCTTGCTTTTTCTTTAGGTCATTTCAGGCAGGAAGTTACATTTAGTTCCTGTTATTCCATTTTGCCGGAAGTGGGAAGTCTGATACTGCCTTTCAAACTTCTCTTGACCTGGTTGTACTATGAGACTCTGATTCAGAATCTCTGTGTTTTTTAAAAGTAGGATATTTTGGTCAATAGTCATAGTTACAAACCAAAGAAATAGATGTTGGCTATTCAATGTGTCCATTTACCACCAGAAGCATCACTCAGGGGCTTGTTAAAAATAAAGAATCTCAGAGCTTATCCAGATCTGCTGACTCAAAACCTGCCTTTTAGCAAACTCCTCCGGTGGTTGGTTTACACATTCAAGTTTGAGAAGCGGTGAGATTCATTGATTTAAAAGTTCTTGTCCATCTGTAAAGTTCTTTGTGGCTATGAAATTGATAAGAAGATTTTCTAAGACAGCAAAATACATCACATAAAGGTTGAAGGATGTTAAAAATGTATATTTCTAAAGTAGATCTCTCATGTTAACTGCAAAAGTCCCAACAAAATAACCAAGCAAGAACTAAAAAACCTTATCACTCATAGCTGTTGAGTCAAAACTGAGTCATAGCTGACCCTCTAGGGGGAACTAACAAAGGAGAAAATAAACCCACAGAACTACTTATTCCACTAACATTTGTTTTCAATACCTCAATTAATTTGTATGGTCTATAATAGCAGGAACTTCATTTTTCTGTTTCTTATTGATAACACACTAGTGTCTAGACAGTACTTGGCATGCAGAAATCATTCGATTAATAATTTTCAACCAAAAGGTTGACTAACAGACTGAACAGTAATACTTTTAACCAAAATCTGAACAGCAGACTGGACAGTCGTCTGTACTTTTAGAAGAATTTTTTAATTTTATTTAATTTTTTTTTCTTCTGAGAGAAACAGTTCAGACACAGAGAGCTCAAAATGAGGAGAATAGTTTGACTCACACCAGATATTTGAAGAATTCAGACTCAGAGATGTCTCAGGCTACCTAAAGCACACTAGTATTCAAGAGAATTTGTTAAAGAAGTGTTTTATAAAGTTAACTTGATAATTCAATAAGAATTCTTTATTATTGTGGAAATTATTGAGGGAACTGCAATTCCATGTAATTGTTTTTAGCCAAGTTTTTAAATTTTTAAAAATTTTTCTGTACTAGTTTATTTACAAAATTCGACTACATTGTTTTCCAGACCAGATTCTTCCAATTTCCCTCACACCCGCCCCCTCCCCATCAAACTGTACAACCTCATGGTTAACCCCTCTTTCCCCCAATTCCTTGTAATGTTGACCAGAAGTGAAGAAGAAGTGAAGTTAAGGAAGAAATAAAGGGTAGTTCTAGATAAAATGAACATGTCATCTCCCGATTTACAATAATCAAAGAAACAAGTCCTGGGCTGGTAGTGATTGCTTATGGTAAGACCCTAGACTTCAGGGTTGTGAAGTTCTGAGGCTGAGTCTCTGTTTTTCAGCTGTTCAATGGAAAGACCTGAGGTATTTTCCTCATCCTTTCCTGGCATCAATTTATCTCTATTTAAAGTGGGCTTGGTGAGATGTTTCAGTTGCTGTTGCTGGTAGTGTTGATACTGTTGGAACTGGTGATATGTGACTTAATCTTTTGGAGTCTTTGTGAGTATCAAGTGCAGTGATACATACGAACAAATACTTTAACTATTAAACACTGGAAAAATCATCTAGTTTAGCATAATATCTTCTATTTTAATTAAATATATTTAGGCTTCTCTTGAACAAATAAACAGAACTTCCCTAATCTCACATTCTTGTCTAGACACCATATTATCCCAATGTTCCTCTTTATAGTTGACCCACTAGAGGAAGTTATCTATTCTCATGAATTCCACTTTTCAGTCCTCAAATTCACTGAAAATTCTCTAAGTTCACCAGTAATATCAACATTTAAATGGATAAATTTTTCTGTCCTTATTTTATCTTTCAGCAGGATTTAAGTTGTAAGCCACTTCCTTGTTAAGACACTCTTTCTTCACTCTTCTGAACACTTTTGGTAGACCTCAGTTCTGTCTTTAAATAACAGAGTTTCCCAAGGATTGCTCCTATTCTTTTCTTTTCTCACTATATGCTCTCTCCTTCAGATAGTCTACTGCTCTAGGAGTGTGTGTGTGTGTGTGTGTGTGTGTGTGTGTGTGTATTCTGTATAATAACCTTCAGACCAGATTTCTACTTTGATTTCCTGACTGACATGTTCCTCCTATATTTTAACCCTGATAAATGGAGAAAAAATTGAAGTTGTTAAGAATTTCAATTTACTTAACTCTATAATCAACACCTTAGTCTAAGACTAAGGTGCATCTTATACAGGCCATGGTCTTTGCTATCGCTTGTTAGGCATCAGAGAGTTGGACAATGTCCAAGGAGGATAGAAGGAGAATTGATGCCTTTGAGCTGTGGTCCTGGAGAAGAGTATTGAGAGTACCATAGACTGCTAGGAAAACAAACAGATTCATCCCAGAAAGGGTTAAAGCGGGTGGCTCCTTGGAGGCTCCGTCTAACATACTTTGGACATGATGTAAGGAGAGACTGGTCCTTGGAGAAGGACATCATGCTTGGGATGGTGGAAGGACAGCGCAAGAGGGGAAGACCCTCTATGAGGTGGACTGATTCATTGACTGGGGTAATCGGGATGGGTGTGTCAGAGCCAGTGCGACTGGCACAGGATAGAGCAGGGTTTAGGGCTGTTGTGCAGAGGGCCACTATGAGTCGCAAGCGACTTGATGGCACATAACAACAACAACATAATCAACACCTATGAAACTATTAGCAAGCATATATTGCATAGAGAACATCAACTGCAAAATACATCCTTAAAGTGTTAAACAGAGGGCTAAGGCTTGTCTGTACCAAGCCAAGGTATTTATAATTGCCTTATGCATATGAGAAAACTACATGAGAAGAATAACTAGGGAAGGCTAAAGAATGGATAATTTTGAATTACAGTGATGAGGAAGAATATTAAACACACTATGGTCTTCTAGAAAAGCAAATGGTTATCTTGGAAGAAGTACATCAAGAATGCTCTTTAGTGTACACAGAAAAACACAAGGACTCAACAAAAAAGCTTTTAGAGCTAGTAAACCAATTCAGTAGACTGGCATGATATAAGATTAATATCCAAAAAATCAATAAGGTTCCTCTACACTAACAAAGAGAACTCAGATAAGAAAACCAAGAAAGCAATACCATTGACAATAGCCAACTGAGATACTTGGGAGTAAACTTAACAAGAGATACAAAAGACCTATACAAAGAAAACTACAGAACATTTCTGCAAGACACAATAAAAGACCTAAATAAATGGAAAAATGTGCCCTGTTCATGGATAGGAAGTCTCAATATTGTGAAAATGATAATCCTACCAAAAACAATCTATATGTTTACCACAATCCCAATACAGATACCAAATTCAGTTTTTAAGGTGATCTACAGGGAAATTGTCAAGTTTATATGGAGAGGGAAAAAACCCAGAATAAGCAAAGCACTTCTAAAAAATAAAAGGGAAGTGGGAGGCATAGCACTCCCTGAACTCAAAACCAACTACACAGCGATAGTAACTAAAGCTGCATGGTACTGGTACTATGATGGACACATAGACTAAT